CCTATCTCATTTTCCTCGTCTCCTTTTAATTTCCTATCTCATTTTTCCTCGTCTCCTTTTAATTTCCTATCTCATTGTTCCTCGTCTCCTTTTAATTTCCTATCTCATTTTTCCTCGTCTCCTTTTAATTTCCTATCTCATTTTTCCTCGTCTCCTTTTAATTTCCTATCCCATTCTTCCTTGTCTCCTCTTAATTTCTTATCCCATTCTTCCTTGTATCCTTTACATGCTCTCTATCTTTCCATTGTTTTACCATACTTGGCAGATTTCATTATCTCAGTCTTCCTCCTTGTGGTCATCGTCTTCTTTAATGATAGTTGAAGTTTAGTCAAAGTTATATTTTGATTTTCACTAAAATATTCCTACTTCTGACAGTAATGTTGTCACATTTTTCTTTTGGTGGTAGGGTCTTTTATATTATCTGATGAAAATAAATCAAAGTCTAGTCCATGTAAATGATAAATGAGTTTCTTTCTTCCTTAATGTTTACAAACTGCCTTCACTGAACACAGTTATAGGCCATGTTTACTAATGATACTAGCTGCACCACAGTAATATAAAGAATAAATTTACTTGTACCACTTTACAGCCAAAACAAAAAACACTGATTAATTCACTGTGCTGGCTACAAATAACTTTATTATCTTGAAATATCCTTTTGATACTTCACTGACCCAGTGATTATAATCTACCTTTGAATGTACTAGGAAACCTAATGTCAAATCTTTAGAACTTTCTAGGCCTAACTTAACATCATTGTTACCTGCAGCTCCTTAACTAACAAACAAATTACAACATTGTCTTATAAGTATATATAATGTATGTAATAAATTAATGTTAAAATATGATAAAGATAAGCAAGTTTTTATTCTGTTATAATTCTTGCTAATACACCTTAATGATAGGGCTATAATGAAGAATAGATTTTGACATTTGAAGGTTCAGAACATAGTACTAATTTGCATAATGTGCTGATATTGTCACCATAACTAATAGTTTGTAATTGATGGAAAAAACCCTTTTATTTTACACTTAATTAAAATCATTCATTTGTAGTTTAAAAAGTTTCATTCAGAACAATAATCTTTTTTTATATTTTAAATATAAAATAAAGTGTTCATTGTTTATGTACACCTATTTAATACTACATGCAATACTTTTACAGCCACCTACAATAAACGTGTGTTGCAAGAGTACCGGTACATCAGATTTAAAGTAGCACTGACCATGAAAAATCTGCAAATTTACATTTTGAGGAAACACTGTTAAACACTTCTTATCACCTTCAAGTTGAACACTAAACTAAAGTGTGATGTAACAATCTCTGAAAGTACACTTCCAGTCATATATGTCATAGGTATAATTAATGTGGCAGGAATAAAGAAATACGTACTGTTTTAACACCATAACTTTACATAGGAATGATAAAAACATGTGAAAATTGATACACATGCTCTTGGTGGTATTGGCTTTAATTGGGAAGTTATCATGCTAATAAATTGGCCCAGTGATAGGTTAGCATGATAACTTCACCCTTAAAGTCAACATCGGAATGAAATTTAGCATACTTGTTGATATTAGACTCTTACATAGCTTGAATTTTTTTTAATTAAAAAATCTTTACCAATTGTCTTGTTATAAGTGTAATTACCACTAACTAAAGCATCAATTAAAATTAATTGCCCATAGTTCGTTAACATTGCAGAAAATTTGCAAAGTTTTTAATTGAAGTTTTAAGGATGTTCACAAAGAGCACGTGTATCAATTTTCACATTTTTATCATTCCTAATAAAGTTATGGTATTAAAACAGTTTGTTATATATTTCTTTATCCCTGCAGCATTAATTACAGCTATGATGTACATGACTGAAAATGTACTTTCAGAGATTGTTACATCACACTTCAATTTTGTGTGCAACTTGTAGGTTATAAGAAGTTTTTCCTCACCATGTAAATTTGCCGAGTTTTACGGGTCAGTAAAACAAATCTTTACTTAACAGTTTCCATTTTAAACATGTTAACAATCAATTTTTATACCTTAAGATCGTTAATCAATTAAACATAAATTCTTGCTGTTAGTGTGTATTTCATATTTGTTCTATGACATCACTTGTCTTATGTCTTGAACATAGGATAGTTGCTACAGTTACTCTCACTGTGCTTCATCATAATGGTTTGCTTTAATGCACAGAAAGAACTGCTAGGTTTTGGTGGTGGTGTTTTATCTTAATACAACAACTTTTGTTTAAGTAGTGGATTTTATACAAACCAAAAGATTGAATTTTTCATGTAGGTGGAATTTAATATGTAATAACTATTCAAACATTGTCAAATGATCTCTTTAAACAAGAGAAAAAAAAACTTTGTATGTTTTGAATACTGCCTGACTAACTTTTAAATGTTTAAAACTATAATCAAATTCCTAGCTAGTGAACAAACAATTGAACCTTAGACATGACTACTTAATGGATAATTTATTGTATGCTGCTTGACAGAAGTTGTAACTTAATTTTTTTATTTTTACAGCCTACTTGTTTCAGTTTGTTTCAGGTTGGGTAACAATTTCTCAAAGTATCAACCTTTTTCTAGCTCTATTCAATTGTTTACTTACTTCGCTCATTATGTCTACCAACTTGTCTTCAGCTCGATGCCTCCCATCATTGAACATGCTTACACTTTTAGTCATCGGGAGGTTATACTTGGATGGTGAATCCCACTTTTTGTTAATAAAAGAGTAGCTCACGTGTTGGCAGTGAGTAGTGCTGCCTTTTCTATAATGTATTGCTTCTAAATTAGGAATGGTTAGCACTGATAGCTCTGAAGTAACTTTGCACAAAATTCAAAACAAAAAAAATTCAATTTCTCAGTAATGCTTCAGAGAAATAGCTGAACATACAGGGGTTAATAGGCTTTTTATTGTATTCTTGTTGTTCATTTCAAAATTTGTGCAAATAGCTATATTGTTTTTTTTTTTCAAATGAGCTTAATTATTGATTTACTCTGTAGAACTGTTACATTTTTAAAACACACACCTCGTGTTGTGCAGATACCTAAAAATAACATATTTATAGAAAATTGTGGTTTGTTTTATTTTGTGGAAAGTATTATTAAAATTTTTTGCCTATGGAAAATTGAGAATTATTTTGCAGATAATATTAACATACTTAAAGTTAGAGCTGAGCAGTTATTGATATTTTCTAATTAATTAATTGATAAGTACAGAGTTCTTCAAACCATGGTTTGTACAAGTGGAAAAAAGGTTTGCAGTGAATACTTCCAGCCAGTTGCCTTCCCTTTAGTCAACAGTTCAAAAAGAAAACACAAACAATAAAAGGTTGGCAGTGGGTGCAGCCAGCCAGTTGTCTTCCCTCTAGTTAACAGTTCAAGAAGAAAACACAAACAACATAAGATTAGTGGTGGGTGCAGCCAGCCAGTTGCCTTCCATCTAGTCAGCATTTCCAAATTAATGAAGTGGAAGATAATATTAGTGGCTTTACTATGACAAAGACAGGATAAGCAAATTTGGTGGAAACGGGAATCAAAACTGAGACCTCCAAATTACACCCCCACCCCAAATCACCAAAACTGAAAAACTTGAAGTAAAAAAAAACAAAAAAACTTAAGGCTGAAATTGAGCAGAGCACAGATAGCCCATTATAGCTAACAAGGAACAAAATTAATAGTGCTATTTCAATTAATTGGAATAATGAAAAATATTAATATTCAGAAATGCTTATTTTACTTATTTTCTTGACAGTTGCTGTAATTTGAATTTTGATTAATTGGTTAGTTTACATAATGCTAATTTATGTAACTACTGCTCATAAGTAACTGATTAAATCACCCAGCTTTACTAAAAGTATACAATTATCAAGTTCATTGATTGATTGCATTCAGTTAATCAGTTATTCTCGTATGAGACTTGGGCAGTTGGAATAATCTAAAATGGTTATAACTAGAAACACTAATTTTAATTAATCAGTTATTTTATGTGACACAAATAGATAATTGATTAGTGAAGTTAATCTCCAAGCTCTAACTTTGAGTACTGTTTGCCAAACAAAAAAATGTGTGCATGAAAGTTTTAGAAATGAAACTTGTATCTCTAAAGAAACAGACACTTAAAGAAATTGACTTTCTGTATCATTATTAGGATGGTAAAAAAATAAAGTTGTTTAGTATTAGTTATTGTAGATAGTAATATAATTCTACGAGATCAATGTGTTTAAGGTGGTTGTCACTCTCTCTAGCCATCAGTTAGAAAAACTCATTGCAATGGACGAAAACATAAAGAAAATGTGAAGTTTTATTATCAGAAATGGATGGAAGAACAAGCACAAAGTCTTATTGATGCAACAAGTAAGTAGAAAATTTGTTAGCTATATGAAATGTAGAGTTTTCCAAGCAGTCTAGTAACCCTCTATCCTGTTTTACAGAACAGTTGGCAATGGCCATTACAATCTCATCCTGCGAGTACTAAAATCATTTATGCAATGATCTAGATGTACAATGGATAAACAGTATCTCCTTCAGATGTATGTTTCCTGTGTTATACATAGATAAATAAATATCTTAAAGTACATTAGTTATTTACTTGATTTTCTCATTACTTTAACAGAAAGTAATTTATTCAAGCAATTTTAATTTTTGGATATTGTACTAAACTACATATTTTCAGAACATTAAGTCGTATGTTAGCTCAACTATGTTTGGAAAGTTTGAAGGACTATGAAGTTGAATGTATTTAAATCTACAGGCTTTGTACTAATATTTCCTTCAAAGAGCCAACTTTTTTTATAACTTGTGATACCTATATATATAGTTTTGATGTAAAAAATATAAATTTATAGTATTGAAACTTTCTTGACTGTAACACATACAAGTCATATTTATTGCTTATGCTTTGTGGACAACTATTCAATATTTGAAAATATTTAAACCACCAGAAAAAAAAATTCTTCATAAATTTTAGTTGCAATATATATCTTGGATTTAAGACTTGTCTTACTGGACAAAAAAATTATACCTAACTGATGTTGTGTCTTTCAGGCAATAACCTTGTTTAAGTGAAATTGGTTTTTATAAGAAGACTGTTCTCATTGCTCAAACAATTTGAAAACTTTTTCAAAAAATTGAAAGTTGTTTACGAGAAACTTAGTTTGGTTGTTTTTAGGAAAAGTTATATAGTGCTGTACATTTTCAGTAAAAGATATCAGTTTGAATATGTAACCCATGTATATATTTAAAATTTTATTATTAAACCACAGATACTGTTTTGTAAATGGTGTAGATATAAGTGAAATTACAACAGCTTGGTATACAGGTTACTTTAACAACACTAATAAAATTAGTTTTGGAGGTTTATTAAAGATAGCAATTAAGAAATTTTAACTAGAAATTTATATGCACTTGCTCAAAATTATATGGATAATTTATTGATAGTTAAGTAAAGAATCCAATAGATATAGCTTTTTTGCAAACTTGTAAGAAATTTGAAGCTACCACAAAAAGTACAAATTTGATAATCTGTATGTGGGTGATGATGGTTTGCTGAGTGAAAGAAACTTGTATTGGGTAAGGCCTTACTTTATTTGATGTTAACTTTTAATTGTGTGTGAATTTCTCAAGCTTACTTGGAATGTTCTACAGATATATATAATGTTGGAAGAAAAGTCAGTACTTGTCTACAGATCTAAATCTTCTCTTTACAGCTACGTAACTGTATTGTATGAATCACTATAGATTTCATTTTGAGAGATTGTGCCCTTTTCTTTTTGTTTGTCTTGTTGAATGTAAAATGTTAATTGCATTATGTAAATGAATATGAACTACTATAACAATGAGATTATTATTTCAATCTTAAACATTACTTTTCACAACTAACCTAAAAGGTTATCTTTTTAAATCTTGAATTAAAAACTTTCAATTTTATGAATCACTTTTTGCAGTGTCTCATATGAACGCATAATCATAACATTATCAAATAATGCTTATTTATTATACAAAAGAAAATTCTTTCACAACGTATTTATACTTCAATTTCGTTTTTGTTTTTATTTTAGCTGCAGCATTTAAAGCTGGAAAGATTCAGTCTGGACAGTTCCCACAAGGTCCTAACAAGCCTCCAGCTGTTACTAGTGGAGGAGCTATGATACCCCCTCCTGTAGGTCTTCAAGGTAAGCATTAAGTAACGAACTGTGGTCACTGGTAAAAAATATCTTTTTCAAGAACTTGCGGTAGATGTACCCAGTGGACTCATAACTTGTGGTGCTTATTGTAGGCAGTCTTCAAGATAAGTGTTAAGAAGTTAGGTACAGCTACTTTTTCAGAAGCATTCATGCTTCATTCAGCTTGTTTCTTAGGTATTCTGTAAGCATTAAGTAAGATGAAGCTGCTGGTGGAGAACACATACATAATTCTTGTATCACTAAATGTAGACTATGCATGACTTAACAAAAATTTACCCAAATATTGTTTAGTGGATTTGTATCACAGTGCTACATTATAATCTTGGATTGTGATTTGTAACAAAAAAAAGTTAAATTAAGCTTTAATTGTTTGCTAGTATACCTACGTAAAACTAATTTTGTTTGGTTTTAAAATATTAAAACAACAAAGGCTACTTTATGGAGCTAAAGGTATAAATTAGTTAAAGTTGTTAGTTAAAGGTATAAGTTATGGGAACTAAACGTGGTTGTTAGTTAAAGGTATAAGTTATGGGAACTAAACGTGGTTGTTAGTTAAAGGTATAAGTTATGGGAACTAAACGTGGTTGTTAGTTAAAGGTATACATTATGGGAACTAAACGTGGTTGTCAGTTAGTTATAAATTATGGGAATTAAACGTGGTTGTTAGTTAAAGTTATAAATTATGGGAATTAAACGTGGTTGTTAGTGTTTTATACAAATTAACTGCAGCAATTAACAAAAGAGAAAAGACAATAATAAAAGATATTCATCAACATTTATTTTTGTTATTAAAAACTTTTTTGTACTTTGTAATTAGTTGATTCTTAACTAATATGATTAATTGTGGTCTTTTTATTAACTATTTTTAATTTAAAAAAAAAAAGTAATTTTAATCTTTCATGGCAAGGTAGGAATCAGTTGGATTGAAGTGCATCAAATTTATTTACACTAGACTTTGTAGTCTTCAAGTGATTGATATTATCTCATTCCAGTGCTTAAGTGAAGTTTCAAACATGCTAGCCAGTTTATTATGATTACGTTTTCAAAAGGCCTCCAAATAAAAAAATTATCTTAATTTGCATCAGAAATAGGAACTAAAGCACTGTCTTAGAAATTATTCTGTTTCCTGTTCAGTCTGTGTGAAATTACACTTACTAGTTACTGGAATTTCAGATGAAGTATCTAGATATGGTAAGTTTATGGTGTAAAGTGAAACCATTACAATGCCTGTCTTGTTCAAGTAGTGTCACCAAAAGAAAAAGTTTCAAACTATTTTTCCTTAAAACTTTCACCTACGTGTGATATTACTTAATACATTAAAAAACCAGATAAACTCCACTAATTGTATTTGAGATTGGAACACATATTTTGACAATATTACAATTGATCTGAGATTAGTTCATCACTAATTGTATTTGAACACACATTTTGACAATAATACCATTGATTTGAGATTATTTCATCACTAATTGTATTTGAACACACATTTTGACAATAATACCATTGATCTGAGATTAGTTCATCACTAATTGTATTTGAACACACATTTTGACAATAATACCATTGTTCTGAGATTAGTTCATCACTAATTGTATTTGAACACACATTTTGACAATATTACCATTGTTCTGTGATTACTTCATCACTAATTGTATTTGAACACACATTTTGACAATATTACCATTATTCTGAGATTACTTCATCACTAATTGTATTTGAACACACATTTTGACAATATTACCA